GGTAAGACTCGACCCCTTGTTAAACCATTTCCTATCCCATAAGAGGGCTTACACTTTCCAGCAAGCTGGGAAAAATCCAAGATGTGTTAACTTCCCACTAAACACTATACATAGCTCGGGTAGCAAAAGTTAATTAAAATTAATGTGAAGGGGGGGTGGTGGTTCAAGTTAACCTACAAGACGTTAAAGCTTTCGTATAAATTGCCTTTTTCCTCACTTGTTCGTTTAAAATTGCGAGTAAATGATGTAATTTTAAAGATGGTAATAAGCACATCGCTAAAGCAACTGAAGAATTATTATTATCCAGTAACATTTGCCGGTTTTCTCTTTGCCCAGTGTATACTACGTAATCCACCACCTATCTTACTACCGTTGTTAATAGTCGACTTTAGTTATAAATTACGCCCTTTTTCCTTTACTTCGCACCTTAAATTTAAAATAGATATTTCGATGTCAGCTTACCACTTCAGTAACATTTGTAGGATGTTCAAGGAGCAATATGTTGTCCAATACTTAAACAATGTTTACTATCGTCCTTAAATATTTTGTTTTTAAGCACGTGGTTTCTGTGCGATTCTATAATGGTGTTGCGGTTTCTCAACTTAACCTACTCCTCTTTTTTAATAAGTTATAAAGTTGTTAGGTACTATGAGGTGGCGAGCTAATAAGAAATAATACTTTACGACAATTTCTATTTTACCTGCCTGTACAAAATAAATCACAAATATATTGATTATTATGCCCTTTGCTTACTACTTAAGTTGCAATACGGCTCCTGTTTTAAGATTTATTTTATTTCCAAATCCCAAGTGCTCGTAATATACAACATATAAACCACGATTAATCCTTTTTTAGAAAAGAATTAGCGGTACCTATTATTTGGATATAATCTTGAACAGTTTTTTTTTTAACAGTTAATAGATGGATAGATGCCTTAAAAAGTAAAGTTGTTACCATCTTTAGAAAACTTTTGGGATTATGTTTATACAGACCCCTTCATAATAAAACATTATTTCCTGTATCCTCTTTCTCGCTAGGACTATAGTAATCTAAATGAACTCTACAAAGCAAGCTTCTATATGCTTTAAAAACTTTGTGACTCCCTATACTTTCTTACCTTTGCATATAGTGATTGCACCTAGAACTTAAAGTTATATTCTTTTTTATAAAGAAACGTCAAAAAGTGAACGCCGCCTATCCAAAACTGCTGTTTCTTTCTGTTCTTCGCTTCATTAATAGTTGTTCAATGACTCTTATCATCGTACTTATTTTAATTCCTTAAGCACTTTATAAATATAGTTTTAGGTTATCACCACAAGCTTAATCTTGACTTTTAACTACTGTTTTTATAAGACTTTTTCATTGTGCCCTACTGCAATGTATAAATTAAAATTATTTTAGTGTAACGTATTAACTTCCCTCTTATTATTTTCTCGATTTATGCTCTTTTTTGATATGCCGACATTTCATCCATCTTTAGAAATGTTTAAGAGCTTTTTATTGTATATATTATTTAAGACACTAATATACAGTATAAATATCGCCAAGCCTTATATTACCTCGAGCCTATTTGTATTACGTTGCATTTATGCAATATGGTTGTGAATTGAGTTGTGACTCTGCTTACTGGTTTAATTTGGCTGAAATAGAACGTTTGTAGTAGTCGACTCTACAGCAAATTAAAATCCGCCATCTCAATTTAAATTATTTTCTGCTTAATAACGTACCTAGATATTAGTATAATAAGCTTTAGATAACTGAACTTTATAATTTCGTATCGCAACTGCCTAACACTTAAATAGACCTTTTAAAAAGTTCCGCAATATAAACTGCTTAACACATTTTTATATAGAAACTCGCTGGAGCCCCATAACTTCGAATACTCGAGCTCTCAAACCAGGAGTGGTCGCAGACATGTTACATAATAGCTTTTGATCGATGAAGGGTCATTATTTTCTAGACAATAACATACACTAACTAGCGCTTATGGGAAACGTGCCCCCTCCTAAAGCTCCTAAAGGGCCACGGCATGACATTACGTTGGAAGTCATTGCTTTGGGGGCCCAGCTGAAGGTCCCGGTGAAGAGCATCATTTCGCACAAAACTAAGGCGCAACTGCATATAAAAGGGGAGGGAGAAGTGACCCCTGAGGGACCTCTGCTGTCAGAGATCGAAGCGGCAACTGGGTATCTACCGCGCGCAAGCTGAAGACGCGAATATTCAGATATGATTTCAGCGCCTTACGAAGGTCATGAGGGGAGGATCACGAGCGCAGTTTGTGCAACAGACCTTCATACCAAACTTGATCAAATGCCTTCTCAACGTCAAGAAAGAAAGCGCCTGTTGCCTTCTTAAGGTTAAAAGCGCGAGTGGTCCATTCAGTTAAGTGGAGGAGCTGCTGGTTCGTTGGGCGCCCTTGCCGAAATCCAACCTGAAATTCTGGTAAAGCATTCCAAGCGTCAACGACTTCTTTAAGACGGCGCAGTAAAACGGCCTCATCCCCTTTGCCGACCGCTGACAGTAAGCTGATGGATCTGTACTTGCTAGTTGCTGATTCTGGTGCAAGTGTTTTTGGTAGCCTCACAACGATCGCCGTCTTCCATCGAAACGGAAAGGCGCCAAGGAGAATGTCGAAGATTTTATAAGGAGGTAAAGATAGGTCTTCCCTATCACTGGCATTTCTTCAGTATCTCATTAGTGATGTCATCGGGGCAAAGCTCCTTTCGTTTAGGTAGCGCTTCGAGAATTGCTTGCCCCTCGTTAACATTAACTAGGTTAAGTAGTTCCTAATTAACGGGGAGAGGTAAGCTCGGCAGAGAGAAAGGAACGCATCATCATTAGCAGTATAGTAAGCAGCTGGCACGTTTTAAATAGCAAGAACATAGGCAAGAAGCGTAGCTATATCTCCATCACTCTCGGCCACTATATTTCCTTCACAAAGGGGTGGTAGTGGTGCAAGCCCCCAATTTTTTAACCTTTTAACAAATTTCTAAAAGGAAGAACGGCTTCTGCTGCCTGATTCTAAGATACGATGCAGGTTTGCTCTCCATTTATTGTTAAAATGGACCGTTAGCTTTTTTATAATGTACCTGTGAAGTCGATTAAGAGCAGGTTTGAGGGCGCTCTGCGACAATATGGCTACTCGAATAAGAAGTCGAGGTTGGCGGATAAGGGTCTTTAGTACGTCAGACAGGCGATCGAGCAGTTCGTTACTTCACTAGTTGTCGTGGCAGTAGTGTGAGCCATGTTTAGTGCGGTTACGAAAAGGGCAAAAGCATTTTTCCGGCAGGGGAGGGGGCGTGACAGTAATGACTGCACCGCGGCAGCGTGGTTTCTAGTACCTCTGTATATTTTCCCCAGTCACTAAAAAATACAGGAAATGGTCTTTGATGTGCCCTTCTCGTCCCCTAAATCGAGAATAACTGGGGAGTGATCGGAGGACAGCTCGTGGAGCGCTTCAATTTCCGTAGAGAGACGTATATCTTTAAGTAAGGCAATATCCTGTATGCCCATTGTGCCTATAGTCGCCAAGTGTGTTGGTTGCTGGGGACCTAGCACGGACAGCTTTCTCAACAGAGTAGGCCAAGGGTGTGCCCATTCGAGTTATCGGCTCGGCTGTTCCATGCAGATTTGGCGATTAAGATCCCCGCACAAAACAGTAGAAGAGACAATCCCAAGGATGGTGTCCAAACCGGAGGGCGGGAGTAGCTCCCAAGGGGGTTTGAAGACAGTGATTACAGAAACGGGTGCCTGATCGGCTATACCTAGGGAAATTCCTCTGCCTCGACACTTTGTAGAGCTGGCATAGGTATCACCTCTACTTTATTAATCGTAAAATATAATATATATACGAAAAATTAAATTAAACACACGAGATTAATTAAACTGTGTCAACTAAATTCGGTGTCAACTAAATTGTACTCTGCAAGGAGATCATATAGTTGATAACTAATGTCTTGTTTTTTTATTTTTTAACTTTATACAGAATTTCTTTTTTACTATTAAAATTTATACCGTTTGCCTGCAGGATTATTAGTGACACAAAAATGTGTCCACAACTTCTAAAATCTAAACTATCCAATTTAAAAGAAATCCTGATAAAATTAATTATTTATGCCCGTTGCATGGCATTTTCAAAGGCGCTGACTTTTTTTTTTTACATATTTATGTTATTTTTGGTCCAATCAGCCACCTCAATCAAGTGAAATGCTTTATATATAAAACTAAGATAATTCTGCGCATCGTTTTCAGCTTGGGGCCTATCACCACCAATAAACAGATTAGCTTGTGCTCTTTTAAAACATTAAGCAATTAGATATATCGCAAAGAATGAGTTTGGAAACGATATGCATCAGTTACGAGGACGAGAACAAGAATGAAAATCAAGAAGGTGAATGAGACACAACTCTGCAATTTTTTTCTTGGTTTTTTAACTATTTACCTTACAGTTCTTTACATTTAGATAAATGATTACCCATTTTTAATTTCATTTTTTTAATTAATTTTAGTCCCAAAGTTGGAATTAATAATATAAGCATTAATATTTGTAATATTTATAAGCTAAGTAAACAATGCAGTTCAAAATTTTAACTATTATGATTAATACATTATAATATTTTAGTAGACAATTTTTGGAGATTGTAACTTAAACTTTAGCTATAAGAATCTATGATAGGTTATTTACTTTTGTTTCCACAGTGCAAATTCGATGTTAGCACCAAGTTATTCTTTTTTCAATAGTCTGTTCTTAAGTTACCGACTACCCGCCAAAGCCTTTAAAATAAAGATGATGACTACCTCTTCGTTAAGGACAATAAAACGGGTTCTCTTTCTTTTTTCCCGAAGTTCGTAGTCATCATTCGCAAATTTATATATCCAGAGAAACACTTTGTTTTATAAGACTTAAGGGAACAGAAAGACTAGGTAAAAAACGAATTTGTGAAAATACCTAATTTATTATGTATGCTTAAGAAAACCAGGCAAAGACTAAGCTTAGCGCTAGAAATACATAACAATTAGAAATTTTACATGCTGCCGCCGCCCTAGTTGGTGAGGGAGGAAATGAAATTACCGGCTTAGTGGCTTGAGTGCTTTGAGCAGTAGGACATGTAGGCTTCAAAGCAATGCATTTGTTTTTATCAAAAGTGTTGTATTCGTTAATTTCCCCCTCATACGTGCATCGTTCACTTTTATAATTTAAATTCTCATAAAGAAGACGAGAGCAGCATAGAAAATTTTCATCAAGAGTAATTAATCTTAGAGATATTAGATTATAGTTAGAGATAGGAAAGAAAATAATAAAAAACAACGAATTATGCACAACACAAGACTATCAGTCATCAAATAAGAAAATAAATTTAGTTAAAGGTTAACAATTTTGTCGATGCGCTTAGGTAAGAAAAGAAACCACTCTCTATTGATGAGATGCGATTATTTCTAAGTTCCCTGAATTAAAAAGTGTAATAAGTTAATGTGAATATCGGTAAATCATTCATAAAGCAAAGAGAAAAGGTAAGTAGATACTTTTACACTTTTTACTAAAAGTATACTTTTATTTGTGGTAAAATGGATTAGTACATTTTTAAAAGTTTTCGACTTACAAATGAATTCAATTATTAGTAAACATAAGTTTTTTACAAGAAATGGATTCCTTTTGTTATCCATTCTACCACTTATTTTTTTAGAGTTTTAACCAAACTTACAGATAAATTAGGTTTTTCAGGGGCGAGAACATTGCATTTCCAATAGAAGTGAGTTGGTTATTATTTAACTCCCTTTAATTGTAGAAGGCAAAAGCAGTCAGTCTAAAAATTAGAAAATAAATTTAGTTATTAAGGTTAACAATTCTGTCAATGCGCTTTGTTCGGCAAAGGAACCATCCTCTATTGAAGATATGATATTATTGTTACGTTTCCTGAATTAAAAAGTGTAATAAGTCAAGGTGGATAGGGAAAGCATTTCTAAGGTAAGGTAAGTGATATTACTGTTACCAATTTATCTTACTAAAAGTATACTTTCATTTGTGGTTAATTGATTTTGTAGGAATTTGACCATTGTTTACTTACAAATTAGTCAAATTCCTGAGTCTTTGTAAGTATTCTCTTTTGATGATTGTAAGTTAGTTTTCATATAAATTTCTTTTAAGAAATTTATTAGGAATTAGATAACGATATATATTAGTATAACTTTATCAAATCTCATATATTCACAAAAAATTGCAATGATGTAAAGAACTCTTAACTTGAAAAACCAAAGAAACAATTGACCCAGTATATTAAAAATATCAATATCTAAGTTATTAATTTTTAAGCTACAGTTCAAAAATTCTACAATTACTATCAAGAGCCCTACCGCAGCCTGGACAAAATTTAAATACCGTTTATGTCAGATAATAACTTAGAAGCTTATCAGAGCAAAGGGCCATCCGTCGCTTGAAAAAGTTGTTAAGTCGCACCTTGAACGGTCCCTTTTCAATATCCGAAATAGTCAAAAAATTACATAAATATTTGTAAATAGGGTCTGTGTATGTAAAAATGGGTTAATTTATTAGCAATCAATAGTGGTTAATCTCATACACTTTGTTGGAAAAAGCTTTATAAACATAAAAAAATAGAACATTAAATTATTTTAAATTATATTGAGACTTAATTATCACGCAACAAAAATCAATTGCCTTCCTTTTAATAATTTGTGCAAAGTACTCGAAGTGTACTTACAAAGTGCCGGCGTTGACGATCGTTTCTTGACAACGTAAATGGGCAACCCTTGGGGAAAAAAGTGCGAAATAGAATAGAAGCATATTTTCGGTTGTTTATTACTGCAGTTAGTAATTTCCGGCTGTTTTAGACAATTTTTTAATTTAACCATTCATATTTCTTAACCTCTTTAAAAAGTAGAAACCGGAACTATATACTAAGTAGTCAACCTCTTTACTTCACTAGTCCCCGGTTTTTATAATAAAAAAAATATTTTGCCTTATTCCTTCCTAAAGCATTGTTAAACTGTCTTAACTCGCAAATAGTATTCACTAAACAATGAAACTTTTATTTTGAAGCTAAAGGTGAGCAGTTAAATGACGTAGGCATGTTATTCTTTGTATAGAGATCTTTAAAATATCACTCCCAAGAAAAAACATTACATAATTAATATAGTCTTTTGGCTTCAAATAGAGGTAAGTATTATAAAGCAGAGTTAAGTGCTTGAAAATATAAATTAAAGTCTATTAAATTCCACACTCGAAAAGTAGATGCCCCATCGTAAGGATTATAAAAATCAACTAAAGATGTACCGAGGCTTACAAAAATTAATAAATAGTTGTAGGGATGTGAGCTTATCTTACAACAGTCTAGTTTTAATTCTACATTTTACTCTTCTACTGGATCTAAAGGCTTTTTGTAAACCCTACATTTACAATTGTGATGAAGTGTACTAGGCCAACCTCCCAAAGAACCACTCAACCATCAAAGACGACCAACCACTCATTAATAATACCTTCAGGTCTGGTGGGCTATTCAACTTAACGTTTATTGAAAAGTCGCGATGTATATATGGCGTAAAACAAAAATAATAGTAAATTATTACTTATGTTTATGGCCAACCACAAATAGTTACTTACTAGAAATTTGTAAGCTTTAATAAGTTCTTATCTACGCCTTACAAATTTTTTTTAAATTTATTAATAAACCTTTTTTCTGCATTTTTTACCGGGTTTAATGCTTTTATATATAAAGAAACTGTACTATTATAAAATTTCAATCTATTTTTATTTAAAACAATTTCTGATTTATAACTTTTCATTAAGTTTAAAGAAATAAATTTTATATATTCTATTTAAATATATAACTTATTTTCTGGGATCATACATGTAACCAAGCAGACCAGATAAGCATAGCTGTACCGAACGTATCTAAACTAGCGGTCTTTAAATTAGTAAAAGGCCCCACTTGAAAACTAATAGATATCGACTGTGCTACATTTTTGTTTTTTGCTGACCTTGACTTAAACAGTATTAACAACAGTATAATTGTAAATTACGTATTAGCTTGGCACTCTTTACATGTAATTCAATAAAAATGCATGTTCTTGAGGTATACCGGAAACACTGTTGAATTCTAGAATATGAACTAAATTGACTGAAGTGGTTCAAGTTTTATTATTATTATTTTTTATTAAGTATAATAAACAGAACAAACCCGAATCCGAGTCTAAATAGCGTATTTATTTTCTACATAAAATTATAATTTATTACAATTGTATAGTTATAAAGTACTGTGTGATTTAATAAGGTTGTGCTCGTTATCATGTATGTATATAGTGAAGGCGCGTAGCTTACATACGACAGGTCATTCGTATTTACCTGCTTAACAGCAAATCCTTCCTTTTCATAAAACCTTAAAGCACAAATAATTCTTTTTCAATCCCTTTAAATGTTACTTGGAGCACTTTAACTCAATGCTGTTTATTGTGCACTCTGGCTAGTTAAAATTACTTTAGCTGTGTATAATAACTTCATTTTAGGAAAATCATGGACGCCAGCAGCACCTTCTGTAGTTTTCTACGTACTCCCATGCAATATCCTTTTTTTTAATCCTGTTTTTTTACCCAAGCAAACTACTTACCGTGTTAACGACAGAGGAATATAATATATGGATAATGAATCAAAAAGTAACAAACCCTAACCCTCAGAGAAACCTGGAGAGGTTCAATTATTTTTATTATTGGTCGCGAAGTTGCGTATGGTCGTCTACCATAACATTTAACTGACTATATTCGTCCACGGCGCCGGTGGTTTTGCTTAGCAGGTGTTTACACAAAGCCTCAATAACAAACTCACCGTCTCCACAGACACTTTCTCGGGTTATCGTATAATTGAATTTAGTATTTTCCGCTATTAAATACTTCCACTTTATAATACATTCGTTATTAGGGTATAAAACGGTTAGTTTTCTCGTCTTTTCTTAAATTTTCTCTTTTGCGTTAAATTTCATTATGTTACCCAGTTTTATGATCCCTTGACCGTTGACGGCGAGTTTATTAACTAAGAAAAGTTGATAAATATTGTTTTATGATCCCTGCTCTTCCGCACCTGTAAGCACCGGAACTAATATGCTATTAAAGTTTTTGTCTGTGGCTTCTAACCATCTCTAATGTTTTGCATATGCCACTAAGACCCGCGCCGATATATATATACTAGTAAACCACACTGTTTGTAACAGTACCATTTGTATACAACTCTATTCGAGTAGTATTCCATAGCACTAGTATGCAGACTCACACGGTTCGTATTTCTCTTCAGTTACTTAGCCGAAATTGCTTCAAAACCGCGCCAATGACCCGGGAAAAGGCAACAGTGTAATTTCTGTTACTTATTCAAGGAGTCTTTTCATGCGAACTCTTTTAGAAGCACTTGGTAGCTAGAAGCAGAATTACCCAAAAAACTTTGCTAGTTTTGCCAAGGATTCCCTCGAGGCTCTACTAGACCCTGTTAGGTTACCTCTCAGAAGAGATAATGGCTACAGGCGACGCTAGTATACTTTGCGAAAGCGTCAAAATTGACACTTCATAAGCCATCACTCAAGGTCTGCAGTCTCACTTACTCGTAGCTAAGTTTAGCCCGAGACGCGATGATCTAGCCGTTAGGATACAGGGGATGTAGCATCTGCCTCTAAACTTACGCTGACAAAGAGTTTTTACCAGTTGAAAGAGCAGATCTTTCGACACGTGCTTCGGGCACCTATAGCACTCCGCAGTGCAAGCTAACGCTCAGTCCTCCAGTACCCAAAGGAAGTCACCATAATCCCGGTTGAACGTTGGTTATTATCTAGATCATTAGAGAGTTGCATTAGCCCACGGACATTAATAAACCTTGTCCCCAGTAGAGGGCAGCATGGCCAAAGGGAGGAGGAATTGCATTTAATATGTATTTTTTTTCTCCTGCGGTTGGTAACCTTTTTTTAACCTTCGATATTTCTACCTACAGGAAGACGCGAGGAATAATTGCAGAGTCAGACACCTATATATAGGTCAGATCTTGTTCGCTCGCTTACCTTTAGAAAGAAATTCTTGTTCTACTAAAGATGTACTTGGCTATCACGTAGCTCGCAAAATATTAGCTAACAGAATCTACACAGCAGAAAATTTTATATTTTTTAAGGATCGCCGACGGGAACCTTGCTGTGGTCGCGGCGATAGAAAAGGTTGCCTGCGCGCATGTCCCCAAAAAGCGCGGTCACAAGAGAGGAAGAGTATTCATTTTATTATCAAAAATGACACTAATAAATTTATAAATAATTCTTATAACCAGTAGCTTTAATTACCTAATAGCGTTCCTTTATTATTCTTTCAAAGGATCAAAAAGGCTAGTATTGAGCAGGTTAGCTTATATGCCTAACTTAGTAAGTTTCGCCTACCCTTAACACTTGCATATCGCGTTGTTTCTAGATTCAGTTCCAAGTCTCAAAGAATGACTCTTAACCTAGTCTTGTTGGACATGAGTCACTTAACAAAACAGTCAAAACATGCTCAAAAGTTCTTCTAGTTTTCAATGTAACAGGGGAAGTTTGCATCTAACAGGTTATATACGTAAAACCATCACACCGGGATCGAGAGCTGTCGTCGTAACTCAGCGGTTAAGAGCAGTGACGTGCATACTCAAAAACGTGGATTCGAGTTCCCACCGACGCGACTCTCCTTGGTCGCGTATATAACCTCGCCCTCATAAATTCTAATAGTATGCAAGATCGCACTCATTTCAGCACTACTTATGAAACTTATTCTGAGTAAGTATAAGAATGCTACCTCATTAGAACTATTTTACGTCCAGTGGCTACAAGGACAAAGAAAGAACCCACTATTATATGCTCGAGTTTTAGTTTTCCTATTTTGAAGAACAATTGTCCCGAGTTTGTCAAGCCTTAACTAATATAGGGAGGATAACACTTATTACCCAGTGAAGCAGATATTGTATAAGTTAGGCCTAGGAAGATGTGCTAGTAATAAAAATCTATTGGGAAAACGTCTCGATAACCTCTATTTGAATATAAGAGATCTATTTGATTCAGTTACACTGATAAATCCTCAAAAATTGTCTCCTTGGTTTAGTATTTTAATTATGGCCTACAAGCATGAATGTTTCAAA